TTCTTCGTAAGATCTACTCTAAATCTACCCTCAGTTTAAAACCATTACCCCTTGTTCTATCTCTACACTCCCTGATAAAGAGGCCCTCCCCCTCTCTCCTATAGGCCCTCTTTAGGTATTGGAAGGGTGCTGTAAGGTCTCCCTGGAGCCTTGTCATCTCCAGGCTGAACAACTCCAACTTTCTCAGCCTGTCTTCATAAGAAGTCCTCCAGCCTTCTGATCATTGTGGCCCTAGTGAATAGCAGGGCCTTTTTCTTAGCTGCATTAGAGTGCCATTTCAGCAGTCTGCCTGACCTACTGTGCTTTTTGCAGACTTAACAGACATGTCACTAGTGTCACAGTGGGATCTCATCTGCTTCCCTGCTGCTCTCTGTTAGGAAAAGAAATGCTCAGTAGGAAAATCTAATGTCATGAGAAACATTGTGGAATCATTCTTTCAGTGCACGTATTCCACTGGTTGGCTATTCAGTTGTTATATACTCCCATAACATACTTGTAGTCAATATCCCTGCCTCTACCTAGCTTTCCTTGTTACCTAGCTTTTCCTTATCTGAATGCTGACTGTAATGTTTCCAAGACATGTGTTGTGGCCATCTGTTCTTGGAGTAGTAATTGGGAAGGATGGGGCTAGTCTGTGAATTTTAGTAGCACCTTGGGTCTTCAGCAATATGGAGGTAGGTTCCGCATGGTTGCGTGGTGGTACAAGCCCATGCCTGAAAGTACAATCCAGTGATGACGAAGTGTATCTACGCCAAAGCATACAACATAGGCAACAAATAGGAGGAGCTGGAAGCCATTGTGAAGCTGGAAAACTGATATAATTGCAATCATGGAAACATGGTGGAATGACTCGCACATCTGGAGTGCTGCAGTGGATGGCTATAAAATCTTTAGAAGGGACAGGCAATGAAGGAGAGGTGATGAGGTAGTCCTGTATGTTAGGGAGTCTCCTGACTAGGGCTTGGTGATGGTGATGAAGGGGTTGAGTAATTATGGGTAAGAATCACAGGAAAGGCCAATATGGCAGCTGTCATCATGAGAGTCTGTTGTAGACTACCCAAACAGGTTGAAGAGTTGGATGAAATACTGAAAGCTGTTGGATTAAATAGCTGAAAGAAGTTACATGATGTTTAGCCCATGTTTGCATGGGGAACTTCAAGTTACCAAATGGCTGCTGGAAATACAGTACAGCAGAAAGGAAACAGTCTAGGAGGTTCCTGGAGTGTGTAGAAGATAACTTCCTGATACAGTTGGTGACAGAGCCAACTAGGGAAAGCATCTTGCTGGGCCTGTTGTTTGCAAACAGTGAAGGGCTTATGGGTGATGTGGTGGTTACAGGCTGTCTTGGGCATAGCAATCATGAAATGATAGAGGTTTTTATTCTTGGAGAATTAAGGAATGTGATTAGCAGAACTGCTACCTTGGACTTCAGAGGGCAGAAGTCTGTTTAGCGGCCTGGTTGACAGGTCCCTTGGGAGGCAGTTCTGAAGGGCAAAGGAGTCCAGGAAGGCTTGACATTCTTCAGGAAGGAAATCTTGAAGGTGTGGGAGCAGGCTGTCCCAGTGTGCCCAGAAAGCTGAGCTGATGGGGAAGAAGACCAGCTTAACTGAACAGACAGCTTCTGCTGAAACTCAAGGGAAAAAACAGAGTTTATGACCATTGGAAAAAGGGGCAGGCAACTCAGGAGGACTACAATGATGTCTTGAGGCTATATAGGGAGAAAATTAGAAGGCCCAAAGCTTGACTAGAGCTTACTTTTGCTAGTGAAGTAAAAGACAGTAAAATGTTTCTATAAATGCATTCACAATAAAAGAAGGGCTAGGGAGCACCTCCATCCTTATTGGATGTGGGAGGAAACAGAGACAAAGAATGAGAAAAGGCTGAGGTACTTAATGCTTTCTTTGCCTCAGTCTTTAACAGTAAGACCAGTTGTTTGCTGAGTACCCGGCCACTGAGCTGGAAGACAGGGATGGGGAGCAGAATGAAGCCCCCATAATCCAAGGGGAGATGGTTAGTGACATGCTACCCTACTTAGACACACACGAGTTTATGGGGGCAGATGGCATCCATCCAAGGGTACTGAGGGAGCTGGCAGAAGTGCTCACCAGTCCACTCTCCATCACTGATCGGCAGCCCTGCCTAACCAGGGAGGTCCCAGTGACTGGATGTCAGCAAATTTGACGCCCATCTACAAGAAGGGCCAGAAGGAGGATCTGGGGAAGTACAGGCCTGTCAGTCTGACCTCGGTGCCTGGGAAGGTTATGGAGCAGATCATCCTGAGTGCCATCATATGGCATATACAGGACAACCAGGCAATCAGGCCCAGACAGCACAGGGTGGTGAAAGGCAGGTCCTGCTTGACTAACCTGATCTCCTTCTGTGACAAGGATCACCAGGTTAGCAGATGAGGGAAAAGCTATGGATGTTGTTTACCTGGACTTTAGTAAAGCCTGTCATACAGTTTCCCACAGTGTTCTTTGGAGAAACGGGCTGCCCATGGTTTGGATAATCATACTGTTCGCTGGGTTAAAAAAATGGCTGGAAGGCTGAGCCCAAAGAGTTGTGGTGCATGGAGTTAAATGCAGTTGGCAGCTGGTCATGAGTGCTCTTCCCCAGGGATCGGTATTGCTGCCAGTTCTTCTTTAGTATCTTTATCAATGATCTGGATGGGGGGATCACGTGCACACTCAGTAAGTTTGCAGATTAAGACACCAGCTTGGGTGGGAGTGTTGATCTGCTTGAGGGCTGGAAGGCTCTACACAGGGACAGGCTGGATCGATGTGCCAAGGCCAATGGTATGAGGCTTAACAAGACCAAGTGCCAGGTCCTGTGCTTGGGTCACATCAGCCCCACACAACAGTAACAGGCTTGGGGAACAGTGGCTGGAGAGCTGCCCAGCAGAAAAGGCACTTCAAGAAAGATACTGAGGTGCTTGAGTGTGTCCAAAGAAGATCACTGAAGCTGGTCTAGAGCAGTTGAGGGAACTGGGGTGTTTAGCCTGGAGAAGAGGAGACACAGGGGGGACCCTCCCACGCTCTACAACTTTTCACAAATAACAAATGATAGGACAAGAGGAATCAGCCTCAAGTTGCACCAGGGGAGGTTTAGATTAGATATTGGGAAAAATTTCTTAACATTCATGGGTGTCAGTCATTGGAACAGACTGCTCAGGGAAGCAAAGTATTGCCTTTATTTAAGCCGCACACGGCAGGCACCTTAAATACATGAAGGTCCTCCAGAAATTTCACTTTGGCAGGTCAGTAGCACCATCCTTGAAAGGGTTTCCATATGCAGTGGGATTTAAGCCATCTTTGTGATGAGAACACTCAGTGAGACTGTTGTTACTGGCATTAGTAGGAGTGGAACAATGAAGTCCAAAATAAAGTATTTCAAGTGCACATTAAATGTGTGTGGTTTTTTGTTTGTTTTTAGTACTCTCAGTGTAGCTGATGTTTGTATATTGTATCTTCAGATAAGTCCCTGGAACAACCTTATTTTCATCTTTTAAGATTCCTTACTGCAGTAGCTTAAGAGCTTTGTACGTGCCCAGAGAATGCGGCTCAAATACCGGTACTTTAAAAAAAACTTTCTTTGTCTGAAGATTCTGCCATTTTGATTTTTCTGTCCTAGCTATAGAAAGGGTAGCTTGTTTCTCGTCCATAAACAGTGATGCATGAACAGCTTTGTGAGGATGTTCCTAAAACCCAGCTAGAGTGCAGAAAATACTGTAGGTACCTGTGCACAAATAATGCGTTAAATTTGTTTGAAATAACCTTTTTCACTATTTAATGTTTTCTCCTACTCTGAGATCTTAAACTGAGAAAGCTTTGCAGTGAAATTTGCTTCATCTCTGGATTTGCAGTAAGCTCCTGAGTATCTCTCAGTGCTAGGACATGAGATTGAGGTAGGAGTGGGTGATCAGGGAAGGACCTTACAGAACTCTGATTTACTGATCTGGCCTATGGGATAGAGAGATGTCACATGGCAGAAAACACAATATCCAAACCTAATCTTTTAAGCTGCAGTGTTTAAATATGAGTATGTCCTTGGAAAATCTTAATGGTATCTGTCGATTCTCTTTTGGAGCCTCCTTGCATAGTATGTGGAAGCCTTCATTGACTTAACAGTTGCTCAGCCCTCATTCAGCATGCAGTGTTACTGTTAATCTTGCCTTAGGGTGAAGGCTTCTGCTCTCCCTCACAGTCTCTGAAATGGCATGCATTTCATTCTTGCAGAGGAGGGAGCTTTGGAGAGAACAATTTGGTGGCTGTTTCCTGACAAATTTTGCCAGGTGCCTTGCTTAACTGTTTCATCACACAGTTCTGTGTCTCATTAAAACCATTAACTCTTTGACTCTAGACTTGTTCAGGTGCTGAGCAGACTTACGCTTTACTTCTGTTGAAATATAAATCATTCTTTCCTTGCAGAGCAGTGCAAATGTTCTTAAGTAGGAATGCTGCTTTGAGCAGACTGAGATAGAAGTCTGTTTCATCAAAACTGTGTTACATAAAATGTAAGATCTGATTTCGTGCATGAAGCTCTGGATTATATGCAGAAATACTGATCACTTGACAGATCTTGGGTTTCTCTTCTCTGAGTTGCTGAGCTTACTTCACTAAGCATAAAGTTTTGAGGTGGGCTTTACGGCAGAAAGGGCACTTGTGGATTTTGGGCGCAGGCATTCAAGCTTTGCTGTCGTCCACAGACATCATTTCACCAAATTGCTTGACCACAGATGGTCTCAGGGTGGCTGTAACTGATAAACGCAACGAAAAGTCATTGGAAATTTCCAGTCAGACAGCATCGGTGGGAACATATGAAATCAAAATAGCAAGTGTTGTCTGTTTCTATGAGACAGAAAGACTGAGAGAGTGTTAACTAACTGGGACAAGCCAAACACTGGAAACTAATGTAATACTGTTTAGGGTATGTCTGCATACTCCAAAGGAGATTTTTTTTACACTAACGTTGCTTTTTTTTTCCTTCCTCCCCACCCCCAGATAACTATTATCTTTAAATCATACCAAGACTGTACAGATCAGAAAGTATATCAAGCAGTGACTGATGACTTGCCTGCAGCTTTTGTTGATGGTACAACAAGCGGAGGTGATGGGAACACCAAGAGCTTGCGAATTGTGGAGAAAGTCAGTGGCAAATACGTCGAAATGCATGCCAGGTATATTGGGACTACAGTGTATATACGCCAGCTTGGGCACTACTTAACATTGGCCATTCGCATGCCTCGAGAGTTGGTCATGGCCTACGAGGAGAGCCAGGATCTGCAGCTGTGTGTGAATGGTTGCCCTTCAAGCGAACGTATTGATGATAGTGGCCACTTACCATTGCCTGTGGGGCAATTAGTCCCTCAGAGTGGTGCTGCTCATCCCCGGTCAGTGTACACACTGGAAACTGCCACCACCAAATGCCATGAGAAGATGCTGGTGAAAGACATCTATTTTCACTCATGTGTATTTGACCTACTCACCACTGGTGACGCTAACTTCACAGCTGCTGCTCACAGTGCCTTGCAGGATGTGGAGGCACTGCACCCCAGAAAAGAGCACTGGCATATCTTTCCCAGCAGTGAAGGTGGTGGTGTGGGAAGGGGTAGCAGATTCTCTGTCTCTCTTGGACTTGTATGCTTGATCCTTGTTGCGTTTTTGCAGAGGTTTTTTTGTCTATAACAAAGTTTTGAAATATATATTGTCATAATATATTGAGTAAAGATGAATATATATGTATATACCATGTATATGAGGGGATACTTTGTCTTGGGACACTCACCAGACTGTACATATTGTGTTCATTTTTTCATGTACGTTTGATGTAGTATTCTTTGTATCTATTTGTTTTGCAGTTTGTGAAATGTTTTATAATGTCCCTGCATTGGGACCTGATAGAAAGCACTTTATTTTTTATATATTAAATATTTATGTGTGTATTTGAGTAACTATGTATTATACATATAAACATGTGCATACAATATTCAGTGCTCCCTCTAGGTACTACTTGGTTTAAAACACTTTTAACTGCATTAATTTGTGGGGATTTTTTTATCTTACTTACTGTACTTTCTATCTTACACTTACTCTAGGGACAGCATGTCTCTTGTCCTGTAATGACATTGGTGATTTGCTCAGTTTACTAGTTAAAATCACAGAATGATATGGGGTTGGAAAGGACCTCTGGAGATCATCTAGTCCAACCCTCCTTCAAAGCAGGTCCACCTAGAGCAGGTTGCACAGGAACTTGTACAGGTGGGTTTTGAATGTCTCCAGAGATGGAGACTCCACCACCTCTCTGGGCAACCTGTTCCAGTGCTCTGCCACCCTCGAAGTAAAGAAGTTCCTCCTCATGTTTAGATAGAACTTCTTATGTTTGTTTGTCCCTATCACCCTTTGTCCTGTCAGTGGGCACCACTGAAAAAAGACAGGCTGCACCCTGTCTTGATCAGATTTCCCCTCAGTCTTCTCTTCCCCAGACTAAAAAGACCAAAGTCCCTCAGCCTTTCCTTATAAGAGAGATGTTCTCAGCCCCTAATCATCTTTGTAGCCCTTTGCTGTACCCTCTTCAGCAGTTGCCTGTCGTTCTTGAACTGGGGAGCCCAGAACTGGACACAGTGCTCCAGATGCAGGCTCACCAGGGCAGAGTAGAGGGGCAGGATGCAGCCCAGGTTGCCATTGGCCTTCTTGGCCACAAGGGCACATTGCTGGCTCATGGTCAACTTGTTGTCCACCAGGACTCTCAGGTCTTTTTCACCAAGCTGCTCTCCAGCAGGTCAGCCCCCAACCTGTACTGGTGCATGGGGTTATTCCTCCCCAGGTGCAGCACCCTACACTTGCCCTTGTTGAATTCCATCAAGTTTCTCTCTGTCCAATTCTCCAGCTGCAAGGTGGGCTTATTTCACTCTTAAAACTGTTCATCTGAGACTGGACAGGAATGTTGGAAGTACTGTCTGAATAGCACGGAAGTAGCACTTGCCTTTGTTAAGCAAACTTGAGCTAGTGATTGCCTTGATGGAGGGAGACGTTTATTCATCGAGTGAAAGCTCCTAGTGTTTATGAAGACTCTTTTGGCTTGGTTTGGGGACTGTTGACTGGTAAGGACAGCATTAGTCTTCTCAAATAAACTAATTAATTCCCTGTGTGGATGGGTAGCTGCATACAGGTGTTATTCTAGGAATACTTGAGATGAAAGTCATCAGAACTGAGCTAAGGCTGAAGGTAAAAATATTTTAGGTTAGGCTATTGACAGCTTGTTCTGTCTGTGCTGCCTGATGGTGCTGTTTCAGATGAGTTAGACTCGTGGATTTATATGTCCAATAACGTGGCTCCTGTAGTTTCACCTGATGGTGACAGGCTTCTCCCTATTTCGTGTGGCTGTACCTCCTCATCAGTGCTCTGAATTTGAAGTTCCCGTGGCTGAAAGCTGATGGATGAACCTAGTGTTGCTTGCAGTGGTGCACATACTTAGCCAGCATGCACTATATACTAGTTAATTTTGTCTGTCCTGTATATACATATATATGCTATATATATGTATACTAGCATTGAGCTGTGAGCCCCTTAGATAAATAGTATTTCATAATATTATTCCTAAATAATATTCTGGAAGAGTACCTAAAGAGTTTCACATTTTCTTGTTCCTGCTGTGGGATTTCTTGAGAAAATGTTATTTGCACATGTTCATTCTTGAAGTCTGCCATCACCAAGAGAGCTTTAGATTAATGCCAGACGTGGATATTTTGAAGCTAGTGAATAGTCTCTGGAGACAACTTAAGCTTAGAGGGAATGCTTTTTTTCACAGGCCCTCCAAATGGCTGTCTCTTGGAAGGCTACAGATTATTTTTTTTTCATGCTTGGAAACCCCACAATGTGTCAGTCTTTGCAAAACCTTTTAGATGTGGTTCATGAATATACCAGTAAGTATATGTTTGTGTAAAAGAGTGGCTGTGCAGTGTGTAAATAAATTATGATAAAGGAATAAAGTTGCCTACCCTGCTGAGGAATGTCTGTAATGTGTTAGGGACCCCTGGTGGGGTGCGGAGAAACTGGGGATATGGGCCACGTACTGGGCAGGCAATTTAAATAGAGGCCCAATTTGTCTCCTAGCCATCGCTTGTTGGGTAGGAATGTGCTGAGTACAGTTGTCATACTTCCTTGCAGATGCTTGTTTCCCCTCAGCTAAATAAGCTGTGTAGTGAAATTTATGACCAGCAGCTGCAAACCAGGCCAGTTTGTTGAAGAGACAGCGTGTGGGAAACCGACAGCAGGAACCATCCCCTCAGGATCCCGCTTGCACGGTTCCTTCACAGTGTTTGCTGAGATACTTAGCAGAGCTTTAATACAGCCATCTGATGCTGCTGCGTTTGAGAGGCGCTACGAAAATCCTCTTTTAAAGTTACCGGGGAATTCTTAGACCAGAAGAACCTTGGAAGAGAAGATTACTTGCTGTAAAACAAGAAGAGATGAGACACTGAAAGAAGAAAGGGTACAGAGAGTCCATCAGATTACAGAACTCTGTATACCAAGATGGTCTGCTAAGTATACGTGGGAGCTGTAATAGTTCAGCTGCAGGGCTAATCACTCAGTATGAAGATAAATTGAAAGTGCCAAAACTGAAACCAATTTATGTCAGATACATACCAAGAAAGGTAGACCTAATAAACACAACTTTGAATGTTGCTTTGCTGAGCTTGTGTTACAGCTGGAATTTGAGGTGTGTGTGAGGGGAACAATCTTACATGGTAGATAACATCATTGAGATGCGTTGTGGAAACGACTGTAGGAAACAAAGAGAGCTTTAAATATATATATGTTTAGCATACACAGAAGGTGGCCATCGTATCTGTTAGAGCTTACTTTGTTGATCTTCCACGACAAGCTCTGTGGAAGGCAATATCGCATGATCATCAGTATTTTAATGCAACAACTAGTAAGCTATTACTGATGCTGTCTGTTATTGGCCTTTGTCTGAAAAAAGTTAGCTGGTGCCTTGGATATTAGTTGCTTATTCACAAGGTTATTTTAAGTATCTTCCAGAGCATTTCTAATTGGAGTGTTTCCTAATCCTATGCTAACAGAGCTCTTAAAAGCAGCTGAGGATAGTTCTCTGTAGATGCGGAGTCTTGACAACTTCCCTAGGAAGCACGTCACAGAACTCAGCAGAGAACTACATGCTTAATCCTTCTTTTTGTTCATATGTATGGCTCCTAAACAAGGTTATTATAAAAGGAAATAGTATGCCTAACGACTGTCAAACCAAAAATTCTTTTTTCTCTCTTCCTGGAAAACCTGCCTGGAAGAATAATCTGCATAGAGCGCCTCTTAAGTGGAATGCAACTCAAGAGAATGCAGGGTCTGAGAACAACCTGACTTTTGTTCTTATGGCCCTTTAGTACTGTATTTCCTTTCAAACTGCTGCTGTACTGCCAGAAAATAGATCACTGACTATTTACATTCTCTTACCTTAGCATTATGAATACTATGCATTTGTTTTATGGGTTTTGGGGACGTGCAAGGGGCTATTTACTTGCACCCCAAAGTGAAGCCAAGCAAGGTTGCAAGCTTTGCACTGCCTAATGAGAGTTTTGTTAGTGGAGATCTTTTGAAAAAAAGCCCAAGTGACTTGTGACTTTCTTCTCCTTTGACAGACTCATAGTACAGTTTCAAATCTTGCATTCATTTTCTTCATGTAAATACAACTGTGATGTTTTACACTGACATTTTCATGCTCTGGGTTATTTTAATTCCCATTTGTGTCTTGACCGATACAAACTGTATTCCTTTCTGTCTTTCCCTGTTCCAGCTATTAAAGACTGCTATCTGTACAATACCTAGACATGAGTAGTAATGACTCCCTTTCTTTTTTTAGAAGGTATTCTTTGTTGTTTACAAGATAAGCGTTCTCTGTGTTGTGCTGCTAGTTGTCTTCATCTGTATTGAAAACAAACAAGGGTTGTGTGGGTCAGTGTTGTTTGTTCATGAGATTTTATAATTCTTATTAATTGGCTTGGTTTGGAGAGCAACATAGCCACAGATCAAGTACAAGTATGCAGGTAATTTCATTGTCATGTTGATGTAAAAAATTGCATCTGTTCTGATTCAGAATTCATTTAATCCGACTGTGTAAATTACACTGCATTGAAATTAAAAGCTGCTGATAGTAAATCAACTGTGAGCAGTAGGATTGATTGCAGACTCCGGATACATGCAGGAGTATGTCACAGAACTGATAACTAAATATAAAAAGGACTTAATGTGTCGTATGTGGAGTGCCAACAACTTATTTATAGGAAATCTTTTCATGATTGCTGCAGTTTTAAAGGTTAATTTCCACTTTTTTTTCTACATGGTAACAGTAGAAGAATAATCCATTATATACACAAAGCATGTATGTGTCATTGATTTCAGTATGTGCTGAGGGCTGACTCTACAAAAGGTTTTATATGTCTAGTTGGTGTGCAAAATTGAGATACACAGTAAAACCTTCTAGCTTGAACCCTGGTGTTTCTTTGGGATCTCTACTCCTCTCTTCTTTACCCAGTAAAGTCCCTCAAGGAACCTGTATTTTTGCTGCTGAGCAGAGAAAATACACAATCCTGAGGGTTGCACCTGCACCCTAGCCAGATTGACGTGGTGTTCGTCTGTCTGGTTCACTTGTAGGGCTTTTTTGGTAGATACTCGACCTTGCTCACTCGAGTTTGGCAGGAGTTTGGGAGACTGAAGTTAAAATTCCTCATCTGCCTTGATCTTTTGGGAGAGTGCCTGCACTCTAGCACTGGGAGCCATTACCATATAAATGCCCCGATGGGTACATTTTAAATTCCAGCCTAGGTTCCTACTCAGAGGCTCCCTATGTGTGCTAGAGACAAGCCAGCTGACCCATCATTTCCTGCACAGCATTGGGGCTGTCTCCCAGGCCTGAATGGTGGGTACACCTTGGCCCCTGAAAGCCCCACACCTGACCTTGATGCAGTGCCAGTGGTTTGGCATGACCTGCCTTCATCTAGTCCTCGCTCCTTCAGGTGCTGCCCGGCCAATCGTCTCTCCCCAGCTTGCCTAAAACACAATGAACTAAGCTATGAAAGACAGGTGGTACCAGAATAGACCTTTGGAAAAAATAAAATTTGGCAGTGTTTTTCATTTATTAATTTTACAATACTTAGGCAATTAAAAATCCTGTAAAAAGGCCCTAATAATTAAACTGTGGCTGTCACAAGTAGTGTTTGTGATTCTTCAGAATGCTACCATTTCAGAATATATTATTTTTTTCAATGTGCGTATAAAAAAGTCACAAGTCTCACGTCACCTAGCAAATGAGATGGCCTTTATGTATGCGAAAGAGATCAATAAATAGTCCCACTGGGAAGTCAGATACAGATATTCCTCTATAATAAGAACAATGGGTGAAAAGCAATTTCAGAGGTACCTACGTCAATGGCAATCACAGTCTTATGCCCTCTCCCCACAATTAGTTAAGTCTTTTCAGTCAAAAAATATCAAGTCCTTCAGGGATGACCCTCTGTGTTTGAGTCCTTGAAAGTTTTCTGCAAGTAGACATGCGTATTCCTTGACAGAA